TCTTTTTTGTCAATGGCGGCCGCAAGGAACGCCTTGTTTTCATCACAAGCCTCTGCTATCGGCTTGGAGAGTTTCTTACGCTGGGCAGTAAGGGCCCGAGCTGACATTCCCTGAGTTGAGGGAGGAGGCGGAAGACGATGAAGTAGATTGGGAGGACTCATCCTGAGTTTTCGGTTGGCCTCGACAAACCGATGAAGGGTGAAAGAATTCCAAAGGGTTTCCCCTTCGAGGATTGTTTTGAAGAACTTGACAAATTCTTCAGTCGGGAGAGTTGAAGCGATGAGAGCTGCGAAGTGAAACAACGAATTTGGTCAGTAAAAAAATAATAATGAACAGGAAAGGAATATACGACCTAGTCTCTACCAGGCTTCGTAGACCACTTCGATGGGAGTACATCGGAAAGATTCCCAATCGAAGCAGGAGTTTTCTTAATCAAGAACCAAGAATGGTGCCAGTTTTCATCTTTGTTCGGGAGGTGCGAGATGACGTTTCTATTTGCATTTGGGTATACCGAGAAGTATCCTGTTTTCTTTGACGAACTTCTCACACTTAGAAGTTCGTTCAGTTCAGGGACCCCGATAATGTAGTCCGCTTCCGCCGCAACGGTTATAATCTCGAGGATGGTTCAGAGGAGATTGGGGGTTAATTGAGGTAAAGCAATCTCGAGAGCCGCCAAGAATCGAACTAGGGCTTCGGGAAGGGGGAAGGTCAATCCGCAGCCCTTGAAGTAGATTTCGTAAACACAAAAGTAGCCGTCACGGTGGTTCTCTGGGGATTCCGTAGGATCGGCTATTTGTGCCTCCGCTATGATTCCAGGAAGAATTTGACAAAGCCCCTTTAATCGCTCAAGGGACTGAAGAGTACAGGTGGATTTGTAATGAGGACCGGCAATATCGTTAGGACGAGTGCATTCATCATTACTAGAACGCCTCTCATCGTAAGACGGAGATTCAGGTCTCTCAGAATCAGAAGTCATCGGAGAAAAATGAAAAATTCAAGATCCAGCGAAGAGAGGTTCGGTGAAGAAAAGTAGAGAGAAGTTTTGATTAAAGCACAAAAGTAAAAGAAGAAAGTAATGGTGAAAAGAAGTTACCTCACACAAGCTAATGATGAAACCGCCTCGGAAGTTGTGTGGGAAGTGGGAAGGTTTTTTTTTTTCCGTTTTAATAGTAATTAATTAATATACGGTCATAATGATGACAGATGTCACTCGGGTAAAAATGGCTAGTGCCGAAATTAAAGGAGTAATGAGATTTTCGGCGGGAAATCAGAAAGATTCTCGAGCGCAATCTTTGGTCATTTGAGCATTTAAAGTCCTCCGAATTGGAATGACACTTCGAAGAACTTGGGGGGCTAATTGTTGGTGTCGGATCCCGCACCAGAAGTCCGGGACCAACCAAAGATTGCCATGTAGACAAGATGAAGACCCATAAAGGATAAAGCCCGTCGGATCCGTGAGCCAAAGGAACAGTCGGAGTGGTTGTCAACGTAAAGAGGGTCCGAAGTGACTGCACCTCGACACAAGTCCGAAGATGAAGTCATGGTTAAGTTGGTCCTAAGAACATTTGGGCCAAAAGGCGAAGCCCATGAAGATCATGATCTATTCGAATTCGAACGTTTAGCATTAAAGTCAAAGATCAAAACGGATACATTTAAGAGGGAATATTTGTACTTAATTATTCACTTTAAATGTCGTTTCTCTATGTATAAATAGAAAGGTGAAGGGCCATGTAAGGGGGATCTTCCTCTGAAGAAAAGGAATAATATAGCAATTTTCGTAGCAATTTATAAGTTTTTACTTATTCATTTTTGTCCCTCAAGAGTAATCTTTCCTACTTAATAAAAATACTTGAGTGTGTGAATACGACATCCACAATATGGGCAACCCGAATAAAAGTGGTTAGGTCGATAAATATCAATTATCAAAGATTGGCAAGGGTAAAAAGGTAGGCATGACCAAAAAGCTAACTGTAACCGTATTTCGGACCGTAACCGGATAGTTTCTCAACCATAACCGGACCGTAACTGTATAAAACGGTTAAAAACCGTAACCGTTAACCGTAAAAATTGATTAGTTACGGCTAAAAAATATACCAACCGTAACCATTAATTAACCGTAACTATTAATTAACCGTAAACGTATCAAAACCGTTAGCTAACCGTACGGTTAATCGCACTATTAGCCGCATAGTTAAAACTTTAAAAATATAATTGTAACTGCGTATAATGCAAATACAAATATCGAATGTTCAGATAAAGATTTTCAAATACAGATACACTAGGTTGGCATTTTACAAAATCTGGAAAATATACAGTCAAATCGGGATATCATACCACAAGGTTAGAAAAGTTGGAGTTATCATTGATTGGCCCAGACATCAAACCGTTAAAAGCACATTCTTGGCAAGTGCAGTGTCAACCTAAGATACGTCACTTTTTGTGGCAAATCTTAACGGGTTGTGTACCAGTTACGGAAAATTTGCGGAAAAGAGGAATTGATTGTGACACAGGCTGTGTCAGATGTGGCGAACCAGTGGAAACAATCAATCATACACTTTTTCAATGCCACCCGGCACGACAGGTTTGGGCACTTTCCCAGATTCCTACGGCAATGGGAATTTTACCAACGGAGTCTATTTTTGCGAATTTGGACAATTTATTTTGGAGAATACCTTCGGAATTTGATTCTTCAGCCTTTCCATGGATTATCTGGTATATTTGGAAAGCAAGGAATGAAAAAACCTTTGAAAATATTGATAAAGATCCGTTAGAGGTATTACGGTTAGCGGAAAAAGAAGCACAATTGTGGCAGTCAGCCCAAATCGAGCTTCATCATGAAACTAATGGAATTGTGGAATTGGTAAATCGTTCTCGAGTGGGGGATGCTTCACTTGATTCGAATTATTCTGGATGTCGTTGTTTTGTGGATGGATCGTGGAAAGAAAGTGATAAGTTCTCCGGTGCAGGATGGTTTTGTACATCATCAAACGGAGAGCCGCCAACCATGGGAGCTGCCAACCTCCGTAGAAGTCTATCTCCATTACATACAGAATTCGAGGCTCTTCTCTGGGCGATGAAGTGTATGATTGGTGCAGATAATCAAGAGGTAGAGTTCCTTACAGACTGTTCTGATCTGATGAAGATGGTGTCTTCTCCAACCGAATGGCCGGCGTTTTCAGTGTACTTGGAGGAATTTCAGAGCGACAAGGAAGAATTCTCATCCTTCTCTTTATCTTTAATTTCTCGTAATGCTAATGTAAAAGCGGATAATCTAGCACGAAAGATTCGTGCAGAACCGCTACATATCACATATGTAAACAACATTCCCCAGGAATGACTCTTTTGAGCTCTAATTAATTTCGGATGACAAAAAAAAAAAAAAAAAAAAAAGATTTTCAAAAAAGTAAATGATATCGCATATGAAAAAATCTGTTAGAATTTTTTTCTCAAACACATACATATGTTGTAATGCTATATTGCTCGAAATGAAATGGTTTATAATATACTTTTTCATATTATTAAAAGCAATATAAAAAGTTACATAACTCGTAAGATTTCACCTGAGATATTAACCGTATCACAATCATCAAATAAGTGTAATTGTATTTAACAGTAACAGTTATAACCGTAACCGCATTTAACCGTAACCGTTTTAACCGTAACTGTTTTAACCGTATACATAGTGGTTAAGGTTACGGTTAAAAAAAATTATAACCGTATTCGGTAGTTAATTAGTTGTAACCGTAATAACCGTAACCGTGGTCATCCCTATAAAAAGGTATCAATCATTTTTCGAGTAAAAGAAAATAAAAGTTAAAATAACATTTTTTTTTTTTTGTCAACAGCTTAAATAAAATAGATGCTCAAAAGAGCCATTCCTAGGGAATGTTGTTTACATAAGTGATATGATGCGGTTCAGTACGAATTTTTTGTGCCAAATTATCCGCTTTTTCATTTGCGCTACGCGGAATTAAAGATAAAGAAAAATTTGAGAATTCTTCCTTGTCACTCTTCAAGTCTTCCAAATACACTGAGAAGGCCGGCCATTCGGTTGGGGAAGACACCATCTTATCACTTATGAGAAATGTATACGAGAAACTAGATTTTACCCCGCGGTACACCGCGGGTCAATTTTTTTATAACTAAAAATTATTTAGCAAAATTTTAAGTTGTATTTTTTTGTTAATATTGTTTATTTTGTTTAGTGTTTCTGATTTTATAATTAAATTTTGATTTTAAATTCTAAGATTTCATCCATAGTATATTGTTTAATATTAATATCGATCTAAACCCGTTGCACCATATAACCCCGTCCCGTAAAATTAAACATCATTTTTTTTTTTTTTTGAATAATATTTTTATCCACTACGGGTCGCAGGTTCATGCGGATAAGCCCGTGGAGAGTTGCGGGTTTGCGTGTCGACCCGCCAAAAGAGAAGCTATCTTTTGAAACCTTTTGTTTTATTTAGAGGTTTTGAGAAAGTATCCCTAAAAATAATTTTCATTATATGAAAAAAAAAAAAGTAGAAGAAATTGTAATATCAACATTCCCGATTTTTACATCACTCGTTACTATTAATTTTTTTCTTTTTTGCAGATAAAAATCAGAAGTTAACTAAGTCGAGATTTTTAAAAAGATTGTGTAGAGATTTTTGGTAAATTGTTGAGAACATATTTGATTTCAAAATCTTTACTTAAATAGATAAGGAAAGATTTTGTACAGACTTTTGCTAAATATATGAGAAATGAATTTCATTTAACAATCTTTACTTAAATAAAACAAATCTAAATAATTAATGCTAATGGCATGCCATTGTAAATACTTCTCAACTTCATGATTTATTTGCTAATTGTGATCCAAAAATGTATATATAGATGTTTCTTTAGACATAAAGCACATGAGAGAAATGGTTTTTTTAGACATAAAGCACATGAGAGAAATGGTTTTTTAGACATAAAGCACAAGAGAATAATAAGATCCCTCGAAAATTTGGTCCGGTCTGGAGCACTTTCGAATTAACAACAAGGGAAAAAAAAATACACAGCGGCTCTGAAACAGAGATCTAGCAAAAGCTATGCGACGATTTTCTTTCCTTCTCGCCACCGTGAAATGGCTGAGGAAGAAGAAGAAGGTAAGTCCGAAGGCAGAAGACTTCGAAAGAAGAACTATAGCCATGGTCAAGCCCTATTCGAAACCCACCGGCTTTGACAGTATCCCTGAAGATCTGTTGATGAAGATCTTCGCGAGACTGTCGGCGAAATATGTAGCGAGGTTAATGTACGTCTCAAAGCTCTGGTATTCTCTCATAGCCTCCCGCTATTTTACAAAACTTTTCCTTGAATCCCCATCATCGGCAAAACGACAGCGTCTGCTCGTGTCACTTGTGGACATGGCAGCCCCGCGTCACTATAAATTCCTCTCATCTTCATCGACTCATGATGATCATTCGGATACGTCAGTTTGTGTAATGGACCAAGTTCTGAACATGCCGGGACTAGAAGGCTACTTCGTGAATGCTCTCTGGGGCTTGATCTGTGTCAGACTTGGGAGAAGCTTACGAATCTTTAACCTCACCACCAGGCAGCGTGTGATCTTGCCCGTTCTAAGATCAAAACTTTTGACTCAAGAAAATATTTGGAACGCTTTTGGGCACGACCCTGTTCAAGATGAATACAAAGTGCTTAGCACATTTTGGGAGGTGATGAGCGAAGATGAGGGGAGAGTAGTGAGGTCCGACCATCAAGTGTTGGTTCTTGGTCGTGGGGCTTCATGGCGCAACACTAATGGCCAGATTTATCCTCATTTTCCTTACACACAAGGGTGTACCATGGCCATTAACGGTGTTATGTATTATGGAGGTTGGGTTGCTAAGAACACGAGTGTGGTCATGAGTTTTGACTTGGCTACTGAAGATTTCACTATGATTGAATTACCCATTGAGGCTGGAATCATCTGGCAGGCTAGTCGCGCTAATCTCATGAACTATGGAGACAAGGTAGCTGTTTCAGAGTATTCCCGACTTCCTTCTGATGGGACCATCGACCTTTGGGTTTTGGAGGATGCGAGGAAGAGGAAGTGGTCAAACAAAGACTCTGGTATTACCCCTATCCCAAATGAATTTTGTCCATGGCAATGAATTGACATTATTAGGCACGGGTCGTCGTGGATTGGTTTGGCTGACAAAGAAAATGCTCTTACGACCGAACCGAGACCCTATGTCATTTACGATTTGGAGAAGAACAATATAATAAGAATCCTTGAAATAAGTCCACTACCACAGCTGTCTTTTCGGATTAAACAACGGTTTGCAAATTGTTGTTTGGCAGGATGATATTGAGAACATTATGTATTTTGAGACATAAATTGTATTGTTATAGTTCAATCGGTTTTCGGAAATACATATGGTAACAATACAATTTATGTCTGTAAAAACATAATGTCTGAACAATCTACTATACATTTTTGCAACACTTTTTGGGGTTCCTAATCGGGTCAAATTTTGTTTAATTTTGACCCGGAAATCTTCAATCGGATCTTTCCTTATTTTTGACAAAATTAAAAAACGAAAATTAATCAATAAAATCTAAAAAATATATATTTTCTCAACTAATTACTATACCTAAACTCTTTATTTATGGCATATTCTCTACAATTTTTATAGATATAGAAATCAAATATGATTATTTAATGCTAATATAACAAATTTGAACTAATTTCCTAAAACCTCTCTACCTAATTAAAACATAAATATATGATTCTCATTTCACTTTTATATGATCTTATATTTATATTATTTTGAACTATTATAAAATATATATACTTAATAAAAAAATTCGATTTTTCTGCATATGCTATGATTCAAATTTTTTAAAACGGACATATTACTCAATCGATGAAGAAAAAAGTATGTGTACAATCTATATTAACATTTTTGAAAAACAAATTTGCGCGTTTAATCAGGTCGTATTTTTTTTTTTTACTCTGACCCGGAATTGAGTCATTCAGATATTTTCTTAATTTCTACAATTATCTAAAACGGGACAATATACCACGGTGAAATCTTAAAATTAACAAATCGAAATACAATTATTTAGTATTTTAATATACATTTTAAAAATATTTTTACGGGTTGGTCTAAAAACACACACTAATTTGAAATATATATATATATATATATATATATATATATATATATATATATATATATATTATAGAAACTATTTGAAAGCAAACTTTTAAATTGACTCGAATTATATGTCTTTTAAATAAAAGTGTTATTAAAAGAAATAACAAAATGATGTTTAATTTTACGGGACATGATTATATGGTGGGACGGGTCGGATTTGGATTGATATTAATACGGGATAATATATCACGGGTGAATTCCTGGGATTAACAAATCAAAATACAATTATACAATTTTAAACACAAAACAAAACAAATACAACTTAAAATTTTCATTTTTAGTTACAACGCATGTGACTCGCAATGTACAACAAAAAATATTATATACAACAAATTCATCAGTTTATAAAAAGACAAAAAAAATCAAATAATTAATCCGCGGTGTACCGCGGGTAACAATCTAGTACTATAGTATAAAGAAAAGGAGAAAACAAAAATGGAAGGATGTTGGGAGGCACGTTAACTTTCGATTGAATTATTTATAAACTTCATATATCAAATGTTGCCGTAGGCACATCATGCATTTCCACTACAAAAATGATACTAGTAGTTATGGCAATTCCTGTGGAAAACAAAACAAAACAACAATGGGGATTGAAGTCTGCGTGAAGGCCGCTTCAGGTGCACCTGATGTTCTTGGTGATTGCCCTTTTAGTCAAAAGATTCTTCTCACTCTCGAGGAGAAGAAGCTTCCTTACAAAACTCATCTCATTGACGTTTCTCTCAAACCGGATTGGTTCTTGGCTATTAGTCCCAAGGGAAAACTTCCATTGATGAAGTTCGACGACAATGACGAGTGGGTGGCTGATTCTGATCTCATAGTGGGAATCATCGAGGAGAAATATCCGGACCCTTCCCTCGTGACGTTTCCTCCTGAATATGCCTCTGTGGGCTCCAAGATCATTGGTGCTTTTGTGATGTTTTTGACGAGCAAAGATCATGCGAATGATGGGTCCGACATGGCTTTGTTGGATGAACTTGAGGCGTTGGACCATCACCTCAGGACTCACGTTGGTCCTTTTGTGGCTGGCGATAAAGTCACGGCCGTGGATTTGAGCCTAGCGCCAAAGCTTTACCATCTAGAGACTACCTTAGGACATTTCAAGGATTGGTATGTCCCTGAGAGTCTAACCAATGTTCGAAATTACATGAAGGTGTTGTTCTCTCTTGAGTCTTTTGAGAAAACTAAGGCTGCCAAAGAATATGTGATTGCGGGTTGGGCTCCTAAGCTCGACGTGTGATGCATTATTGTCTTGTGTTATTACTAAAATGTAGTCTTGTGTTTATTTCCTCATCTATTTAAAATAAAGAAACACACCAAGTGTTGGTGTCTTCTGCTACGAGGTTGTTTTTCTCGTTTTCAATGTCCATCATCTAACTCTCTTGAAGAGTTAAGAGAGAAGTTCATTAATTCCATAACAAAATCATAAACAATAACAAAGCTGCGCAAAACTAAAACTCCACAATCTTCTTCTCAATGGCTTCGATTTTGGAAATGTCTCTTTCGCAAAGAATATATTCTCGCTCATTTTGCCTGCGGGTGTGAAGCAATGAAATCAACAGCGAGATCAACCGACTGTATCTTATCAGCTTCGTTATCGGGTATCTCGAATCCAAACTCCTCTTCCAATGCCATAACCACCTCCACAGTGTCCAAACTATCCAAACCTAGATCATTGTTGAAATGCGCCTTTGGTGTCACCTACATCACCATGAATTGCACTAACTTATTCAAATCAAACAAGTACATTTTCTTCCTCAGATCTAAGTAATGGCAAGTTCAAATCAAAACGCAATGGCCTCAGATACATATAACTAAAGACTAACTAACCAATGGACTAAATCGAAGTAGCTGATCCAAAGACTAACCAATGAGCATGCCATAAGTTCCATATCCATCCAAGTAGCTGATCCAAAGACTAACCAATGGACTAAATCCAAAGCCTTTGGACGAATGATTCGCTAAAATGTACAATCATTATCTATATAATCAAAAGACAATGCGTTCACTGAATTACTGAATTGGCTAGGTCTCTTACTCTTTGGTTCGGTTAAAGCTATCTTGAATTGGTTAATGCCTTGAATTACAAATTGACATTGGCACAAAGCAAACAACAAAATGTTCAAGAAACAAAAGCTCTAGCTTCCATAATCAAATGTCTATCTATCACAATTAAATACAATGAATCACAAGTAAGAATCTGAAATACCCTAGAAGGTTCAACTTTTTGGAAGTTTTTGACGACAGAGAGAACGCGATCTGTGACTTCGGATTTGTCGAGGAATGATCCTCTGACTTCTTCAGAGAAACGACGGAGAAGAACGTACAAAGGAGGGGAAGTGATACTGCTGGAGATTTGAAGAGAAGGTGTGACATTGACTCTTAGGTATTTAAGCAGAGCACCTCTCGCCGCCATTGCTGCCGCAGAAAAAAAGACCTAGAGAACCTTTCTCTCGTCGGAGCTCTCAGGTCAGATCAAAGGCGATGATTTCGTTACCTGAGTTACTAAACGATGTCATTTATTGTAAGTATTGGGCTTTTTGAGCCCGTTTACGAAATGCCACACACCACAAAGGAACCAAGTTTGAGAAAAAATTAACAGATTTGGTTAAGAATTTGTATACAGTAAGTTGTATTTTTTGGAAAAATAAATCAATCCAATTTGTAAAAACATTTTGTCTGCAAAGGAATTTGTATTATATAAAATAAAACATATATTTTACAGTAGACATATTTCCTTTTTTGTTTTCTCAACATCTTTCATTTATTAAAGACATACTCCCTCCCTTTCAGTTTAGTTGTCGTTTTAGGATTTAAATTTTGTTTCATAATAGTTGTCGTTTTAGGTTTTCAATGCAAATGTTTGGTGAAAATTCCAGTTTTATCCTTATTGTTTTAATGTTTTGGCCAATAAAATTTTTTATAAAATATATTAATAAAGGGTAAAACAGAAAATTTAATGCTTTTCTTAATTTGTGTGAAAAAACCTTAAACGACAACTAAAACGAAACGGAGGGAGTAGTTTACAAGAGATCATAGAAAATACAATGATACAAAAACATCGAGTAAAATCATCAAGTATACTGAAGAAAGATGAAATGATAGAAGTGATTAAAAATTTAAAATTTTTATGCAATAAAGGTTGTGCCTATCTTAATAAAAATATATAAAATAAGATAAAAATTCAACATTTTATATTTTACATTCTCCTATTTAATTATTTGTTTTTTTTTTTTTCCATTAAGCTAGTTAACGATATAACTTAACTTGTCTGCGGTAATCTCAGTTTGTGAATAACCAATTTCTAGACCACAAGACTAAAATTACAATGAAGGAGCAGGTGATATCTTGTTTGGGGGAAACTAGAGCATAAGCAACATAAAGGAAAAACTTGCGAACTCCATGAATTTGGACAGAAACTTTTACTTATCAGCAAACTTTCAACCTGAGATGAGAAAATTTGTGATCTTGTTTATATCCTCTTTCAAGTCTTATCAATGTAAAACTTCTTATTTTTTCGGATTCACTTAGTTTAATCAAAGCAACAAGTAATGGAGTCTCAAATTAGAGTTCCATATGACTCTTCTCGACATCTTTATCTTATCATTTTTCCTTAGTAAAATTTGTTTTCGGGTTTACACCTAGAAAAAAACAATTGTATGTTTTCTTTCTCTTTGCATAAACCTTAAGTTAATGAGTATTTATAACTTGACCTTTAAAAACAAAACGCAATGGTATATTTTATAATATTGATGTAAAAAAAAAAAAGAACTCACTCAATATTAGAATATTGTCACTCAATTTAATTATTTTCAAATCTTTTTTAGTTCAGTTTCTTCTTCTTTGACCAACAAAAAAAAAGTTACTTTGTAAACCGTGTTAATTTGATTAATTCCATTATAGCTTCAAAACCGTACAGATCTCTCTCTGTTTCGGAGCAGCTTCACACGCTCAAAGCTCACCGATCGATTCTTCCAATGCTCTTCTAAATCGTGAGTAATTTCCATTCTCATTTCCCAGATCCAATTTTTCTCAGATTCGCTCTTTCCCGAGAAAGAAAATTTGAAGAAAGAGAGATTCATCATTTTCTCTTCAAAACTCAGATCTGCAAAATTCTCGCATCACTCATGGGTTTGATTTCAAACCCTACCCGTTTGGTTCTCGTCGCCACCACCATCTTCTTCTTCATCTTCGTTTCTTCAGTCTCCGCTCAGGTTCACGATTATTTTTCTCCTCCATTGATTTCGTCTTTTTGAAAATTCAATTATCTACAACGCCTTTTTTTGTGCTCCTTTATTAGGATTCGGTGGTTGACAACAATGAGAAACAAGAATCTGAAGGATCTGGTAAAGAGCTTGGTCGTCGTGGAATGGTAATATGAATCTCGATCTGCTTTTTGGCCTTTTGCGAATCTGAATCTCTTTTGATTCTTTATATGTTTGATTTCAGATTGGTACTGAACGAATTGGAGTTGATACTGTTGTAGACAATATTGGTGCTCTTGGTTTGAATCTTGACCTTGATTCTACTGGTCCTAGTGTATTTGATGCATTGTTTTCGAGTTTCTCGATGATACTTGTCACCGAGGTTTGTTTCTTTTGCTTTCAGATTCACTGGAGTTGATATATCCGTTGATATTGTTAGAGCTTAATCTTTGTTTCTCATCATATGTTAGATTGGAGATGAAACGTTTATAATAGCGGCATTGATGGCTATGCGACATCCTAAAGCTACTGTTTTATCTGGTGCACTTTCAGCTTTGTTTGTTATGACTGTAAGTGGAAGATTTCTTTGATATTCATCGTGTGTTTATCGTAATTAGTTTCTTATATTCACTGTATGCCTAATTGTTGCGATATTCCTGAATTACTTTTAGATACTTTCGACTGGACTTGGTAGGATAGTGCCAAACTTGATATCAAGGAAGCACACCAACAGTGCTGCTACGGGTATGTAGTTCTCTCATATGGTGTGAGTGTGACACTGTCAACACTACAATTTTGGTTTTTCAAAGAATTTGCTAGCTTAAATAAATTGAGAGCACTATGCAACTATATGATCATGAATTTTGTCTATTTAAATCGTACTGTCTAAAGCTTAAAGCTTATCGACTGATCTTTTAGTGCGTCTTGTGATTATGATTTTGCAACTCCAGTTTACTTGAACTGTATATCTTGGTATCTAAGTTTATTTGACATGGTGAAATGGAAGGATAATTGATTCATTTAGTAAAATAGAGCTATCCAAACAGATTTTCCTTCATGTCTTTGTTTGGGAATATGTAAAACACTTAAATGTGGTAGTAGTAGATACATCTGTATTCTCATTTGAATGGTTGCACTTGAAAGATCTTACATCTTTGAAAATGCAGTTCTCTATGCATTTTTTGGTTTGCGCCTACTCTACATTGCTTGGAGGTCTACTGATTCAAAGTCAAACCAGAAGAAGGAAATGGAAGAAGTAAGTGGTTCTCAAGCTACATGTGATGCCAGTTGGTTGCATGTTGATAATCAAAAGAGATTGTGCCTGACATTCTTATTTGCTAGTAACATTGAAAGTTGTCTGATTTCCCATCATCTTTGGTAAAGGTTGAAGAGAAGCTCGAGTCAGGCCAAGGGAAGACACCCTTCCGTCGCTTATTCTCAAGATTTTGTACCCCAATATTTCTGGAGGTATTTTTATATTGGGCATATTGATGCTTTCGGTTGTGTGATTTTAGCGATAAACTGTTTAAAAAGTTGACTATAACCCTTCTCTTGTATTTTCTTGCAGTCCTTCATCCTAACCTTTCTAGCTGAATGGGGCGACCGTAGCCAGATTGCTACAATAGCTGTAAGACTCATCTCTCATGTATCTGGCTTTTTACTAAAATTGACCAGTGAATGACTTTTATCGTTTTTGAAGTTGGCGACTCACAAGAACGCCATAGGAGTGGCCATCGGGGCAAGTATTGGACACACTGTGTGTACTTCACTAGCGGTTGTTGGAGGAAGCATGCTGGCTTCAAGGATCTCGCAACGCACAGTCGCAACTGTTGGAGGCTTACTCTTCCTCGGCTTTTCAGTCTCCTCCTATTTCTATCCTCCACTGTAGTAAATGTGCTTCTTTCAAAAATGGGTGTTAGAGACATTGTCTGAGTAAAGTTTTCAATTTTTTCTTTCTTTTTTTAAAATTAAGTTTGATTTTTGTTTAATATTAATGGCCAAACCAAAGAATCCAACGCCAATGCTTTTACAACTTACTTGCTTGAAGTGTAACAAATCTAATTAAATAAATTTTTGTACTATCCAATTTTCCATATAGAAAACCATCCGAGGGTGGAGTTTATGTAGAATTGTT